TCACATAAATGTATTGGAAATATATATGCATCTGAATAATATTTGCATTAGATAAATATATGTAAATTTGTAACTTTACTGATATAATGATATCCTATACCAAGTTTTAGTTCCTCTGTTGTATTTTTGTCACTTTTTTGTAATAGCATTTTTAATGTTTTTTCTTCTTCTTCTTGATAGTGTATTATTATTATTGTGTTTTCTTTTTCTTTTGTTATTAATTAAAAAGCAATACAATTTTGATAAAAGTTGCATGTTTCGGTCATGATGCATGTTTTGTCCCTTGCTCCTCATTGTCCCCCACCAATGCCTGTGGGTGGAGCTGGCTGTCATTGCATTTCATAGTGCCCCAGGGTGATTTTTGGAAGCTGTTGCAGCCGTTATTGGAATCAATGAGGTCTGATTTCACTTGGGCTGTTTCATCCTGCTTAAAATGTCTGCACTACTCCTACCTGCTGATTTGGGAGTCTCACTGAACTCATTTGGATTTAGGATGAATAAGCATATGCAGAACTGCATGGTGCAGACAGCAATTTATACAAACACTCTGAAAAAAAATGTTTATGTCTATCATTTGAATTGGATAGAAAACAGATGGGGGAGAGTTGAAAGTACCTTCATTTCACTGTCAGTTGGCTACAATTTTATGTTTGCTTATGTGAAAACAAGCTATAAGAATCTTGTGAAATTTAGCAGTCTGATACCCTTACTTCTGTGCAGACATGCAGGACAAGGGTGCATATGATTGATGGTCTTGCTTGTTTTGTGGTTCTGTTCACATGAAATTTGGCCCCATTTAAATTGGAAAGTATTTCTCAGGACTGGACAACAAAAGATTCTCTACCTCTAATATAAGCGTAATGAAATAAATATGGATTAACCATTATTTGGAAGTCTTGTTCAGTTGGATCATCCATTTAGGGCCTAAGTGAAAGAGTATGTGCAACAGCCTCTCTGGTATTGCTACAAGCAAGGAGCATTGCTATGGTTTGTTCATATGGGAAAGGAAAGAATTTTTCCAGAATTGAAATTACAGAATTGCACAATGCAAACCATAAGAAGAAAAAAGAATTCATGCTGTCCATCCAAACAGAAAATACATGTAGAAGGATACAGGGGTTCCAGTTTGTGGTTGCTCACGGGCAGATCATTGTGCCTTTTGAGCTGAAGGGGGTGGTGCAGAGGGGTGTGTCAAGAAAACCCCACCTTTGTCCAAACTCTGCCAAAGAAGAATTGAGATCAAAAGAGGGGCTGAGCCTTCAGTTTGTAAACTCAGCTTTAAATATGTGTGTACATAGTTTACAGAAGATCCTGGAAACTCTGTAAAGTCACTCATAACTTCAAGTTCTAGGGAAAATCCTGTTCATTAGTGCTTGGGGAAAAAAACAGAGAGGTCAGCAACATGAATGGAGATCTTTTCCACGTAAGTCCATTATATTAAAAGGACATTTTATGAAGTTATTTAAATGTTATAAATAAACAGCAAAGTGTTTTTTTTAAGAATATAGAACTGACACCAGCTTTCAATTTTATGCCTTTAACAGCAGAGTAACTATAGGCAGGTTTAAGTCATTACCTTTCTATTCCTGTATATTAACCTGCTCTTAGTTGCATAGATGCAGAATCTGACAACCCTACGTCTACTTTTTTTTTTTTTTTTTTTTTTTATTTTATTTTATTTTATTTTAATGGGATTGTTCTGGAGCAGGGGAGGGGGGAATAACCTTGTAGTAGCACTTTTTCACATATATTTTTTAATGAATAGTTAGTATTATTAGATATTTACCATATGTTTACTTGGGCTACTGTGGAGAAAGCTAGTTATTTATGAGAGTGTTTCTAGCAACAAATAAATGTGTTGATGTTGCACACAATTGCAGATGTGTATGTTAAATCTGACCTACATAGTGTATGTATATTGAGGTTTAAAATGCATGTTCATTTCCATCTACATGTTAGGTAACTGCTGTTAAACACAGGTCTAACACAATACCTCGTGCAGCCTTCTTAGAATCTGGAGATGTGGTCCTGGTGAATGATATCTTTGATGAATTATGTGATTGACAAAAATATTTATCATATGCTGACCACAGACACCAGAAGTTATCCACAGTAGTATGCAATTAGCCATCCCAAATCCTCTATAATTATGAGCAAAGGAAATTGGGGAAAGAAAATAATGACATTCAATTACTTTATGGCAATGTTTCATTTATTTCCCTGTAAGTAAGGATCCTCAGATGCACTCACTTGTCACCAAGGCTGAGCATATCTGAAATCTGGTGAATGCTTGCTTCAGTGTAACATGAAAGCTAGATCATTGATTGATTGTTGGTGTGCCATTAAGTCATTTTCAACTCCTAGTGACCACATAGATTTTCTCCATGACAATTTATCCCTAACCTGGTCTTTCAGGTCTTCTAATGGGGCACTGATCACCACTGTAACTGAGCCCATCCACCTTGTTGCTAGTCATCCTCTTTTTCTCTTTCCTTCCACGTTACCCAGCATTAGAGCCTTTTCCAGAAAGCTAGATCTTCTGTGTCCAAAGTGGATAATTTCAGCCTGCTCATTTGTGCCTAAAGTGAGAACTCTGGGTTCATTTGTTCAATGATCCATTGGTTGGTTTTCTTGGTTGTCCACAATATTTTCAGGAGTTTTCTCCAACATCAAAGTTCAAAGGGTTCAATACTCTCTCTATCCTGTTTCTTCAAAGTCCAATTTTCACCTCCATAGTATGTAACAGGGAATACTATGGCTGTACAATTCTGATCTTTGTAGGTATGTACAAAGGTTTATCTTATCTAACAGTTGGATGCACCTGGAATCAGACTTCTGAAGGTGCACATGTAGCCTGAACGGAAATGTTTAATATAAATTGGCATTTAGCTGCTGCTTCTTATTCTTAGTAGCTCCATGGCTTTTGTGGGTGGGGCTCTCACTTTGCTATGCCCTCTTTAAAAAGAGTTGCTTTTCCATATTAATCAAAGTGAAGCTAAACGACTTAGAATACCACAGTGGAATCCAAATAATGAATTCCTGATTTTCCAGGAATAAAAATAAGTGTTGTACACAACATCAAATGTGCACTGCTTGGATGAACTTCCAAGCAATTCTGGATTTGTTCAAGATTTTCATCATCAAATGGTACCTCCCACCTCCCCCAATCTTTGAATGTGCTTAATTTCCTCACATTTTCTTAATTAGCAAGATTGCTTGTAGCAATGAAACAATAAATAGCTTTATTTTTGTATCAAGACATTTTTCTCATCCTAATCCTGAAATCTATTGACCATGCAATTTGCTCTCCAGCATGTAGAGCTTAACCAAAAATGGTTTGAGTTGATTCAATTTTTTTTCTTTTTGTAACAGACATTTACTGGAAACAGACATTTATGTTTACCAAAAGCCATTGTGGTTCTAGCTGAAGTTTTGTCTGACATTTAATAAGTACTTCTTACAAGCTTCACAGGCTTGATCTGGGCCAATGGATTAACACCACAACTGATTCACACTGGAAGCAATGTGGGCTATTTAATAAGAAGTACTCTTGTCTCAGACTCACACATATAGCCCCAGACATTGAAGAAACAGTAGTCAGGAAGACTGACACTACTAATAAAACTGAGAAGGAGAAGGTGGACATCAGATTGTTTTTTATGCATTCTAAAAAAGCAAGCTTCTATTGTTGCTGTAAAAACTTAATTTGCCAAATTTAAAAAAGAGGAACATCTTACAAATGGAGTAATTCAATACACAGCTTCACAACAACCTCCTCCTATTCCTTCCCTTTATATAGTCTGTGCCATTCAGATTTTATGAAGCTTGCTGCAGCAGAGTCTACCCCCACCCCCGAAACAAGCCAATGGCAAGAACTGTAATATTAAACACGTTTAACCTTTAAAAACCTTTTTCTCAGTCTGCTTGTATGTGAGCTAAGGTAAGGCAACATGTGGATGTGTGTTATAATAAAACTTTAGAAAAATGGGGAGTGAAACAGTTAGCTAGACTCTATTTTAGAACTGAACATGGATGCAATTAGTTTCCAGGCACCAAAGACTTGCGATTAATTTCATATTTATTATGTAGGAATCCAGGTACATTGAAGAGAACACTTCCCAGAATGATGCAATCTCTCTGATTTTTTCCCTCAAAGAAGAAGTTGGAGCCTTGGCTAAAGTCCTACGCATATTTGAGGTATGTGTTTTGCAAAAGCTGTTGTAGGAAGATGCTGCAAGATGTGTTGGGGTTGTGAAATGTTATTACAAAAACCATGAGGAGGAGAGAGGATTCATTCCTACCTCATGGAGAGCCATGAGGAGAAGAGAGGGAAAATGAGGGATTCAGGCCCCGCCCACACAAAGCAGCAAAGCTAGGCCACAGCAGAGCCCCCCTCCCTTTGTGCTCATGTGAGACAGGCTTGGTTGAAAGCCCATATTTTCCAACAAGATGACAATCCAGCCGCCACACATGCAGTCCCCAGATGTTGTCTGCTTTGTGGACAATCTCAGATGACACCCCATAGTTGTCACCTCCCAAACGTCTCTATTAAGCCTGTGCTAACAAGTCTGGCTGTTACTGTTTTGTTTCCCTGCTCTTATCCTATGCTATTGGTCCTTTGGTAAGAAATTGCAGAAAGCAATGACTTAAGATATGCTGGATTTGATCTTAATGGTTTACCAAAAACTGTCATCCAATTTCCCCAACCATTCCTCCCCTGCAAAAAAGATTTGTATCTTCTTCCATCTCACTCATTTCTTTAGAATATTTTTGCAGTTTTTTTTAATGTACCTCACTATTATAAGGTGGAGACTGCAGTTGGTTCTTCTTCAGTTTCTATCACTCTGTGGCTTCACTGCCTGTTCTCTCTTCCTAATCTGAAAAAGGCATTCCTCATATGTTCCGTTCTCCAATAAAACCTGAGGAAAGATTGTCTGTCTGGAGCAGGGGGTGGGGGATGAGCTCAAAGCTACAGGGGAATCAATTATGCATTTCTGTTTATCACCACAACATTCAGTTCAGCTGATTTGACATGGTGAAATGTTTATAAGATGGGTTCATCAAAATTTCATCCTGGAGAAAATCTGTATGGTTGCTAAGAGTTGACACCAACTTGATGTCACATCACCATCCTCGTCATCAACATTTGGTTGATCTGATCTTACATGGTGAAATCTTTACAAGCAGCCATTCTGATGATCTTTTTGTTTAAATATGTTAACATACCTTTTTTATCATTCCTTCCTATTGTACTTCATATACCTATATGTCATTCTGCAGCCAGAAAGTCTCCTTGAACTGCTTACAGATGAAATGCAAACAAGACACTTCAAGGAATGCCTTCAATGCCTTAACATTCTCTTTATTATAGACTGCCATTTTAAAAAAAATTTATTTTTTTATCTGTTCAATCGTGTCTGATTCTTGGAAACTGCCTGGACAAGTCGCTGCAGTTTTCTTGGCAAGGTC